CATTGCACGTGCAGCCGACAAGCATGCAGATCAATCAGTACGAGTCATGCAATCAGCTCTATCGTAGTCAGAGCTGACCCTGCAGTGGGTTCTGATGTCATGTACAGTGCTGACCCGCAGAGAAATCCGACCTCATGAATATAGTAGCTCCGCGTTCGAGTGCACAGACCAGTATGTGTAGTGTTAGGGCAGTGTAGTGCACAGACCAGTATGTGTAGTGTTAGGGCAGTGTAGTGCACAGACCAGTATGTGTAGTGTTAGGGCAGTGTAGTGCACAGACCAGTATGTGTAGTGTTAGGGCAGTGTAGTGCACAGACCAGTATGTGTAGTGTTTGGGCAGTGTAGTGCACAGACCAGTATGTGTAGTGTTAGGGCAGTGTAGTGTAGTGCCCAGCAACGCTATTTTATTCATGAGGTTGGATTTCTCTTTGCCCAGCACTGTACAGTGTACTTGACAGGCGCTAGGCTCAGAAAGTCTGCACTGGATGACATCTAGAATACTTCAAGTAGAAGCGAGTGCCACCGGCGTGAAGCACGATCACTAGATCCTCGCTAGGTCGTCTTTGAATTGTAGCTACTAATTTAAAAGCGTTGTTTTCCGTGAGCGGTTTTCTTCGAAAAGGGAAAGGCGGCAGTACTTTTCTTCAGTCATAGTCAGTTCTTCTCATTGCTATATCGCAGCTTTCTGGATAAAACCACTCTCCAGAAGAAGTTTTTGAGACTTACTTCAAGACTTACTGTTACTTGTCGGAGAGCAAGGTACGACTGATCAGTGGTAATACATTTCAACATGTTCATGGAGAAACTGAGCCCGAGGCTTGCACCTATCATTCAATGACCTCTAGAGGATTAATTTTCACCAGGGTCACATTAGTCATCTACACTATCGTGGAAAATTCGTTATGAACGGAACATGCTACTCCTAGTCACAGGGTTTTATCACTGGCATGTGATGAGTCAGGGGTTCTTGTTTGTAATAGCTGAAAATCGGGGGGTTCTTGAACGTAGACTTATCCCACTGTCCTTACCAGTAAGTTTTGCTCTATGGTTGCCTCTAATTCACCGTTACGGATACATTTCGCCTTCAGATAAATTTCTCCTTGGACATTGACCAGGCTGTCAGTCAGAGCTACTTATTCAGTGGTCGCTGCATGCAATCTCTTGTAATCAACATACATGCACAGCACATTCATTGTTCTTGTCCAGATTCGAGTACTACTACTAGGTTTTCACATGTCCAGTGATGAAGAGTGAAATACTTGAACAATTACAACTTTCTGTAGAAGGATTACTGGTACGACCACACCAGTATATGAGCAGGTCAGTGGCTGGAAGTCCCCCCCCCCCCCCACTAAAACATCTTCCTACGCCACTGCATGCACACACATGTATACACTTCTCGCACTTGTTCACTTCTGAAAACTTGGGTCTCCTCGACGGAGGGCAGAGAATTTCAAAAGGAATCTTGGAAAGGTGATTTAATTGGCTTGTGAACCACCCAACACCTGAAACCCTCTGAAATGTCCAAACTCTGCGTGGATTTGACAATAATCTCAAGTTTGGGCTCATCACATGTTTATAAGTGGGTAGGAACAAGGTTCAGAAAGCAGATTGGCAGCATCAGGGCATCGTCCTGGACTTCAACTGCATTTGTAGAGGCTTCAGCTGCCTCTTACTTCAACTAATACATGTGTGTGTTCTCAGACCACTGGTATTAAGACACAACCAACTTGGCAAGCACACCAGAATTTTTATGCATAGCAGTTATCTGGCACATATGAACACAAAGAAGGGATGAAAACGGGAAAGGAGGGAGAAAAGTGGCATTGTTCCTAATCTTTTATAAAAGGAGTCACGCCAAATATTGAAATAAATCAGGAAAGATTGAAAGGCTGAAGAATGTGGAGGTGATGACTAAGCGTGGCTGCGAGAAGGAACGGACTCGACACTACACCAAATTTATGGCAAGCGGCAGAATCGGTACACTACTATGTTGTCTTCGGAGACTGGTTGATGGACATTTCTGAGCCAAAGAAATCGGGTGGCGTCTCGATCAGGCATCGTCAGCCCGACTTGCAAAATGCCTTCTCTACATCACTGGTTATGCCGATCGGTTTCGGATGAAATCTGACCAGAATTCCACACATATCTGGTACCAAGCTTGGCCCGCTTTCGAGGCAATCATTCAGGCTGTGGTTGTTGGATTTCGTCTCGGCGGACGCATCATAAAGAACTCGAATCTTCGTTGTCGTGTTGTCAGGCTTCACTACGCAGTTGTGTGGAGTGTTGTGTTTCAAGGCGTCAGTGTTCTCGGTCATGTTGACTGTCTCGATGATGCCACTGTTGAGTTGTCGTTGAATGGTGTCGTTGCATTTGTCGAGGATTTCTGGGGTCTTGGACAGACGCAACACAAGCCAGCGGAGCCGGCCACTTGCAAGCTCGTAATTCTCTGGTAGAGATGTGTCAGTCACACTATCTTTCTACGGCCATTCAAAGCTAT